CTCTCTCTCTCTCTCCTCTCACTCTCACTCAATCACACTCTCTCAATGCATTCATTCATTCAATCTTTCTTTCTTTCTTTCTATTCATTCATTCTTTCTTTCTCTCTCTCTCCTCTCCTCCCCTCTTCCCCTCTCCAATGCTGCGCCATTTAACGACATTTGAAAATTTCCGCTTCAAGCGCCCGCAGGCAAAATAATGATGTTGGCGATCGCAAACACATCCATAGGAGAGCGAAAGGGAGGGGCAGGGAGAGAGAAGGGAGATCGAGAGAGAGAGAGATCGAGAGAGAGAGAGAGAGAGAGATAGAGAGAGAGAGAGAGAGAGAGAGAGAGAGAGAGAGAGAGAGAGAGAGAGAGAGAGAGAGAGAGAGAGAGAGGGAGGGAGGGAGAAAGAAGGGAGATCGAGAGAGAGAGAGAGAGAGAGAGAGAGAGAGAGAGAGAGAGAGAGAGAGAGAGAGAGAGAGAGAGAGAGAGAGAGAAGGGCGGGAGAAGGGAGGGAGGGAGGGAGGGAGGGAGGGAGGGAGGGAGGGAGGGAGAGAGGAGGAGGGGGAGGGAGAAGGGAGGGAGAGAGAAGGGAGAGGGAGGGAGGGAGGGAGGGAGGGAGAGACAGAGAGAGAGAGAGAGAGAGAGAGAGAGAGAGAGAGAGAGAGAGAGAGAGAGAGAGAGAGAGAAGGGAGAGGGAGAGAGAGAGAGAGAGAAAGGGAGAAGGGAGGGAGGGAAGGAGGAAGGGAGAGAGAATAGAGAGAGAGAGAGAGAGAGAGAGAGAGAGAGAGAGAGAGAGAGAGAGAGAGAGAGAGGAGAGAGAGAGAGAGAGAGAGAGAGAGAGAGAGAAAGGGAGAAGGGAGGGAGGGAGGGAGGGAGGGAGGGAGAGAGAGAGAGAAGAGAGAGAAGAGAGAGAAGGGAGAGAGGGAGAGAGAGGGAGGGAGGGAGGGAGGGAGGGAGGGAGGGAGGGAGGGAGAGAGAGAGAGAGAGAGAGAGAGAGAGAGAGAGAGAGAGAGAGACGAGAGAGAGAGAGAGAGAGAGAGAGAGAGAGAGAGAGAAATTCACTCCGAGTTTTCACCCTTGCCACTATCGTCCCCGCACACGATGACGAATGCGCGTTCGTCATCCTCGCACAAGTATAATGAAAATACTACTACAACTACTACCACTATTAATGATAATAATAACAAAAGTGGCGACGACAATACAACTACAAGAGCAATGACAATAACAACTATGATGACGAATCCGTTCATGCAATCCTCTCACCACGAGGGGCGAGCATTCTCTTGAAATTCCCCGCAATGGCGCAAACTCTTTCACGTAACACGAAATTGAAGAACTGACTGTTAATAATTCCTTTAACAAAATAATGGGAAAACTAAGCGACTTTTAATATGAAACGTCAACGAAAAAAATGGAAAGCAATACAGAAGACAACGACAAGGAAGTAGTGGTGGTGGAAGATGATGGGAGATGAAGCGAAGAATGAGAAAGAAGAAAAAGAGGAAAAACAAAAGAAAGTAGATAAAAAAACAAACGAAGAAGAAGAAGAACGCGAAGGGAAATGGGAACTCCAAAAACGGGGGAGGCCCCGGATGTCAAAGAACGAAAAATGATCTTCGAAGTTCTTCGCTTTCCCGACAAGGACAGCTGCAAAGTAGGAGAAGAGGAAGAGACAGGGACAGCGCTGGGGGCAGGGGCTGGGGGCAGGGGCTGGAGTAGGGACAGCGGTAGGGGTAGTGACAGGAACATTAGTAGGGATTGACACTGGGGCAGGGACAGGGCGAGAGACAGGGAGAGACACAGGGAGAGAGACAGGGAGAGACACAGGGAGAGAGACAGGGACAGGAACAAAGGCAGTGAGAATGGTATAGGTAGGGATAGGGGCAGAGGGAGGAGAGAACGCAGAGGCAAGGCCAGGGTAATGAAATTCAGGGAAAGGTGCAGATTCACTGACAAGAGAAGGGAAGGATTTGGAGAGGCAACGAGACAGGAAAAGGGACAGGGACAGGGACAGGGATCAGGAGACGAACAGAAACTGGAGCAAGGACAGGGACAGGAGCGTGGTTGATAAAGAAACGAAGACTGGGAAAAGACAGAAAGAGGTACAGGAACAAGAACAGACACTGGGACAAAAAAAAAAAGAAAAAGAAACAAGAACAGAAAGAGGGGCAGATATTGCGACAGAAACAGAAAGGGGGAAAGAGAAAGTGAGAAAGACGCGGACGGGAGAAAGGGACAAAGAGGGCAGCACTTTCAGGTACTCACTCGTTCGCGATCTCCCATAAGCTCACTTGCAAGCTCACCTGCGAAAAAGAAATGTTCAATAAACATGACGTCATGTCGGAAGGCTGGCAAAAATAATCAACGAAATGATAATATGATATGAAGGCAGCTCTGATGATAACGATAATGATAATGAAAATAATGATAATGATAATGATAATGTGATGATGATGAAGGTGAAAATGCGATAAGATTATTGTAATGATAATGATGATTATGATGATGTTAACTGTAGTGAATATGATAACGACATCGATGTGATAATTATAATAATGGTAATGATGATAAAGATAACAAAAGCGACTAAACAACAACGCCGATGACGATAATTCCACAAAAAAAATACATGAACAACGATGACAACAAACAACCATTGTCACAACCCCCCCCCCCCACACACACACACACGCTCTGCTCACAAAAACAAATGACGCAACACCCGAAACCTGACCCCACTCCCCCTTCCCTCCTTCCCTCCCCCTTCCCCCTCATTCCTCCCCCCCCCCTCTCCACGGCATAGAACAAAAGAGCAAGAAATCTGGCATGGAAAACAACCAGGCAGTGATCACCCCCTCCCCCTCTTCCTCTCCCCCCCCTCCTCCCCCTCCTCCCCGATCTCCTCGCCTCTCTCCGCAGGAAAACTTGCGAGGGACACAATGAAGACGAATAATAAGAGCGACGAGATATAATTACTACGAAACTGACGTCACTGGACAAGGCCCTTTCCCCTTTCCCCCCCTTCCCCCCCCCCCACCCCCCCCAACACCTCCACCCTCCTGCGTCCGGGAAAGGAGGCTGGCAGGCTTCTCTTCTTTCATTTTTTTTCATTCTATATCATTTTCTTCATTCATATGATCTATTTAGCTCTTTATTTATTCGCCTGTTTATCTAGCTCTTTATTCTATCAATAGCCATCTATTTACTTATCAGCCTGCTTCTTAGCCTATCTACTTTACCTATCTATCCATCTACCTATCTATATCTATTAATCTATACTCATCTGTGTATTTATCTATCTCTTTGTCTATCTACTTACAAGTCGACCCATCTTATCTATCTCTCCGGCCATCAATCGACCGATCTATCTATCTATCTACCCATTTCTTTTCCTCTCTATTTACCCATCAATTCATCTACCTATCTATCTATCTATATCTATCAATCTAAACCCATCTGTTTATCTATCTATCTGCTTCTATACCTTTCTACTTCCAAGTCTATCCATATTATCCATCCATCCATCTATCTATATCTGTCTATCCATCCATCACTCCATCCATCTATCTATATATCTGTCTATATGTATGTATGTATGTATGTATGTATGTATGTATGTATGTATGTATGTATGTATGTATGTATGTATGTATGTATGTAGGTATGAATGTATGTATGTATCCATCCATCTGTCTATATGTATGTATGTATGTATGTATGTATGTATGTATGTATGTATGTATGTATGTATGTATCCATCCATCTATCTATCTATCCATCCATCAATCTCCCTACCACGCGCAGCACCCCGCCCCCGCCCCCCGCCCGCACTGGCTATGCGAAATCAAGCACGCGTCGACGCCCCCGAGACGCGGAGTTACGCAATCTACTTTCGCGTGACGTCGGCGCCCCCGCGGAGGTCCGAGCGTCAGCCGAAAACCGAGTCGGCTGACGTCAAAGCGAAGGGGGGAGGGGGGAGGGGGGAGGGGGTTAAGGGGAAGAGCGGGGACGTGGGTATCAGCCGCTCTTCGGATCTCAAAAAAAAAAAAAAAACTCGTTTTAAATTCAATTAAGTCTGTAGAATTACAAGCGCTGGGTCCACATGCTTCATTTTCTATATATTTACTTACTATATTTATTTTCATCCGTAAGTCCAATATTTTATGTACAATAATATAGGCTGCATTATATAATTATCATCAGTATCACTATTATTGCAATAACGTGTCATAAAAAAACAATGTATATGATGATGAAAATTAAAAACCATGATAAAGACAGTTACAATAATAATAATGATAATGGTTATGATAATGAAAACATTGATAATAATAAAGATTACTGCAACTACTAATAATAACAGTAATAACAAGACTAATAACAACCACCATAATACTACTACAATAAATAATTAATAATAATAACAACAATAATAATAACAATAATATAAATGAAGAAGGAGAACAATAACAACAATTATAACAATAAAACTACAGTGATGATAACAAAAAAGCGGCAGTAATAATAAAGATAATTACAGCTAGAACCCCTAATAATTCTTATCATCACAGTAGAAGCAATACTTGTATCAGTATCAACAACAGCAGGACAAGTAGAAGTAGCAGTAGCAGTAAAATGATTATAAAAACAATATCAACGACAATACACAAAAAATGCTAACAATCACAACAATAATAGCAATAATAGTGATAATGTATGTAATCATAATAAAAATTTTAACAACAACAACAACAATAATAATAATAATACCATTATAATCACCATCATCATTACCCCCACTATCATCGCCATCTTCATCATCATCATCACCATCATCATTATCATCATTATTATGATTGTTATCATCGTTATCGTTGTTATCACCATTATCATTATCGTTATCATTATTAATATCATTACCATTAATATTATGATTATTACTATTTCCATCATTATTACCATAATTGCTATCATAATGATCAAAATCCTACAACACACAAACGAGATTTTCAATAAACAGGGAGAGGGAAGGGGAAGAGGCGGGGGTATGCGAGGGGCTGAAGAGGAAGAGATAGGGGGAGGGGAGAAGAGGCAGGGAGAGAAGGAAGGGGGAAGGAGGAAGAGGGAGAAGAGGAAAGGAGAGAAGGAAGGGGGGAAGGGGGGAGGGGGAAAGGGAGAAGGAGGCAGGGAGAGAAGGAGGGGGGAAGGGGGAAGAGGAGAAAGAGGCAGGGGGAGAAGGAAGGGGGGAAGGGGGAAGAGGAGAAAGATGCAGGGAGAGAAGGAAGGGGGAAGGGAAGAAGGAGGAGAAGAGGCAGGGAAAGAAGGAAGAGGGAAATAGAGCAGACGGGTATACCAGAAATAAAAGAGGAGAGAATATGGAAGTGAAATAGGGGGGATAGGGGAAAGGGAAAGAGATAGGTATACGAGTTGGAAAAGAAGAAGGACAGGGGAATGAGGGGGGGTAGGGGAAGGAGCGACAACCCTCCCCCCCCCGAAAAAAAATCCCAAACACAACCTTTCCCTTCGCTACCCCAACCCCTTTCCCCCTACCCCAACCCCCTACCCCAATATTGTTGTTTTTTAACATTAATCCGCAAAACATAGCGAGCGGGAACAACATCAAACACAATTAGGCAAATGAGGCCGTCTTGACCTCATTAGCATCCGCTTAGCATATCATTTGCGTGGCCCTCGCAGGGACGCGCACAAAGGCACGGAGATAGGGGCGAGGGGGAGGGGGATGGGGGGGAGGGGAGAGGAGGAGGAGGAGGAGGAGGAGGAGGAGGAGGAGGAGGAAGGGCAGGAGGAGGAAAAGGAAGAGGAGGAGGAGGAAGAGGAGGGGGGGAGGAGGAAGAGGAGGAGGAGGAGGAAGAGGAGGAGGAGGAGGAGGAGGAGGAAGAGGAGGAGGAGGAGGAGGTGGTAAGGAGGGGGAGGGGGGGGAGGGAGGGAGGAGGAGGAGGGGGAGGGAGGGAGGGAGGGAGGAGGAGGAGGACGGAGGGGGGGAGGAGGAGGGGGAGGAGGCCAAAGGAGGAAGAGGAAGAGAGATTAGGAAAAAAAGACAGAAGAAGAGGAGAGAGGCGGAGGGAAAAGTGAACAGCTAATGGGATGAGGGAGGGAGGGAGAGGAGGGAGAGGGGGGAGAGGGTGGGGAGGGAGGGAGAGAGAAAATGAGAGAGAGAGAGAGAGAGAGAGAGAGAGAGAGAGAGAGAGAGAGAGAGAGAGAGAGAGAGAGAGAGAGAGAGAGAGGGGGGGGAGAGAAAAGGGAGGGAGAGAGAGAGGGAGAGAGAGAGAGAGAGGGAGAGAAAGAAAGGGAGAGAGAGGGAGAGAGAGAAAGAGATTGAGAGAGAGAGAGAGAGAGAGAGAGAGAGAGAGAGAGAGAGAGAGAGAGAGAGAGAGAGAGAGAGAGAGAGAGAGAGAGAGAAAGGGAGAGAGAGAGAGAGAGTGAGAGAGAGAGGAGAGAGAGAGAGAGAGAGAGAGAGGAGAGAGAGAAGGAGAGAGAGAAAGGGAGAGAGAGAAAGGGAGAGAGAGAAAGGGAGAGAGAGAGAAAGGAGAGAGAGAGAAAGGGAGAGAGAGAGAAGAGAGAGAGAGAGAGAGAGAGAGAGAGAGAGAGAGAGAGAGAGAGAGAGAGAGAGAGAGAGAGAGAGAGAGAGAGAGAGAGAGGGGGGGGGGGGGGGGGAGAAGAGAGAGAGAGAGAAAGGGAACAGGTCCAGCCATCGGGCCACAACTGCGTGAGTGTGATAATTAACGCGGGGCAATTAAGAGCCATAACTGCTGCCTTCGCCCTAATTACCTTCTTCCCCCCACTCCCCCTCTCGGCCACTTCCCCGCTCCCTCTGCGTGAAAGGCTTTGCCCATCAGAATGAACAGTTCATTTGCATTTGATTATCGACTATGGTCTCCTTGCTTCCTATCTCTTCACTTTTTTTTCTCTCTTATTCACCTTCTATCAGCCGTCCTCCTCCCCCCTGCTTTCCCCCTTCTCAAGCCCGCCTGTAGTCTTTCCAACCGCTTCCGTCACCCATCTTAAGCCACTAAAAAAAGGGGGAAAAATAGAAAAAAAACACTTTTTCGAATGACTTCATCGCGCCACAAGTAGATAAAAACATGGACGAGGACGGGCAAATTCACGATGCTAAACGGCCATGAAGCCATAACACAAAAAAACCGGGCCCATTATATCCATAATTACTCTCTTTTAAGCTTACCACTATCCCCTTCCTCCCACCAGCCCAACCACCCCTTCCCTCGAGTCCCTGGAACCTCAAAAACCCTTCCCCGACTCCCTGGTCGTCATTCATCAATAGAGTTCTAATCACAAAACCCATATTTTCACCTGAAAAAACGACACCCGTAGATACATCAATAAACTAATTAATTATCTGCACCAGAAAGCAATTAAAAAGTCACCCCACCTGGAAACACCCCTTCCTCCCCCCCCCCTTTCCCAAGAAATATTCCAAAATAGATAAACCGGGAAAAAAATATATTATTCAAGGAAAAATTCGATTAAAAAAATCGATTAACTTCAGCTTCCCCCTTTAAAAAATAACTTAATCAAAAAGGCCAGATGAAAATGATTTTTTGCAAAAAAAAAAAAAAAAAAAAATTAAAATCGAAAACTACTTCAGCCCCCACTATATATATATATATATATATATATATATATATATATATATATATATATATATATATATATTTTTTTTTTTTTTTTTTTTTTTTTTTTTTCTTTTTTCTTTTCTTTTCTTTTCTTTTTTTTTCTTTTTTCTTTTTTCTTTTTTTTCTTTTCTTTTTCTTTTCTTTTTTTTCTCTTTTCTTTCTTTCTTTCTTTTTTAATGCCAATAATTAAAAACCACAACATCTGAAAATCGAAAAACCGGTCCTTCCTCCTTGGTATTCTTTGTAATTCTACTATTATTTTTCTTACGCTTCTCCTCTCCTTGATCTTATATTTCTTGTATTTCTTTTTTTTTTGTATTTCTTTCCTCTACCCTCAAAACTCCCTTTGGAAGACGCGTCGATCCTCACCTGGGGCGGCGTTCACGATAGGTCTGAGACTCCGGAATTTGTCTCAGGCAAAAGAAAAGAAAAGAAAAGTCTATGCTTTGCCCCGTGCCATATCTCAAGGTTAATGCTAGTAATAGAACGCACATTCATATCGTAATAAACCCTATTTGATTATTTATTGCAATAAGACGATAAGGTAAATACGGCAATAAATCTTGCTTATATCATTCCTGCGCTTAATGTCACTGCATTAGTTGTAAAGGCGGCGCCGATATTTGTATCTTTTAAACAAAATACAGAAATAAAAATGTACGAGACGGCTCAATTAACTTTTGATAATTTGTCAACAGAAGCTTTTCTAATCATTTCCAAAGCGGTATAATTTTCAACTGAGGAAAATTTGCAGAAGAACAAATTAAAGACAGTCCTTGCGGACGTGAATAGAAAATATCAGTAAAATATAAGAGACGACTAAATTAACGTTTGACAATAAACCAAAAGCGTCTTCTAAGATTTTTTTGTCATATTCGACGCACAATTATCTTCAAAACTGTGTAAACTTGCTTTGTAGTTTTACAGACAGTCCTTGCGCGCGTGGGACACTTCCACACCTGTCCGATAACTTCGGCCGGGTCAAAGACAAAACCTGCTTGTCTAAGACATTTCGGTGAGGGTCACAGACATATCGGCAATCGGTAATGACATTCTGAGGCACATTCTGATTTAGTGTCAGCCATTAATAGATCCGTTTTTTACATATTTACAGCGCCGGCAGGCTATGGTTGCCCAAATTTTAGTTAATATGAAATGTGTACTACTACTGACATTACAGAAGTAGGATTTATTGTAGTATGTAGTTTTAACATGTTGCAATGAATGATCTTAACCCATTGCCGCCGGGGATGGCATGTACGTACATGCCATGCCCACTGTGAGTCGACTTGTTCGATTGTTTTTACACATAGGTGGCTACACTTGTACTAAGTATCCAATGAGCCAATTACGAGTACTGCCTGTCTCGCCCGTTCACCCTTGTCATCAATTTACGAAAATATTTAACGTTACCCTAATTTGCTGTTTTTTCCCGCCAATTCGAGGAAAGGTGAAATCAGGACTAGTAGAGCCATCTATGGGCAGAGATATTTCACAAAAATATAAAAAATGAGCACAGAATTTTCCCCATTTTTTGTTCATTTTCCCCGGCGGCAATGGGTTAACCCATTCGCCCCACGTGGCAAGAATAGATGCCATGCCCACTTTGATACACGTTTATTTATTGTATTTACACATAGATGGCTCCACAAGTTCTTAATCACCAAATAGCCAGTTTATCGAAACTACCTATTTCACCTGTTTACCCTTTTCCTTCACTTTAGGAAAGGGTCTTTTGTATCATTTAATTGTCTAAAATATTTTAATGACAATTTAATAAGCATAACATCAATAACAATAATAACAGTATCGATAGCAATGGTATTAATTTTCCCGCCAGTTCAATGAATGGGAAAATCAGGGTCGGTAACTAGGGCCTCCTGATAAGACTCCTTGCCGGCTGAGTACATGTGGAGCCATCTGTATGTAACAAAATTCACCAAAAACTATAGGGGACAGAACATAAATCCGGGGCGAATGGGTTAATAGAGACTCTAATGATGTAGACGTTTATTCTCTAACCACACACTCACCAGGCCCGCATGCACACCCGCACGTCCGCCCACCTGGCCCCTGAACCCACCTGGCCAGATCGGAGTCTTACCTCGCCCTTGACTCTGACATCGATAGGTCCTTGGGGGGGGGGGGGAGGAGAGAGAGAGAGAGAGAGAGAGAGAGAGAGAGAGAGAGAGAGAGAGAGAGAGAGAGAGAGAGAGAGAGAGAGAGGGGGGGGGGGGGGAGAGAGAGGGGAGAGAGAGAGGGGGAGAGAGAGAGAGAGAGAGAGAGAGAGAGAGAGAGAGAGAGAGAGAGAGAGAGAGAGAGAGAGAGAGAGAGAGAGAGAGAGAGAGGGTCACTGG